CCCTAACTATTCTATGATTCTGTAAGTAGATAAGCATCAGGGAGTTTGAGAAGGAGATAGACTGGTGGAACCAGGCTCTGACATCCCTCAGGCAGGAGCAGGAGCAACCAGCAGAAAAAAAACCCCAAACCAAACCAAAATCAAACAAAACCAAGATCCAGGGCTTCCTGAATCCTCCCTCTGCCAGACTGAAGGCAGTACCTCGAGCGAGAGGAGTATATAGACACTCAGATCAGCGGGCAAGAACACTGCCTTGCTGCCTACTCCACCCTCCCAGGTACCTCTGTACAACAGGTATAAGGCTCTGGATGTGGAAGGCCAATCAGTGGTGACCAAGATGGTGAAAGGCCTCAAGAGCAAGATGTATAAGAAGTGGCTGAGGTCACTTGTATTATTCAGCTTGGAGAAGAGAAAGCTGAGGGGTGACATGGCAGTCTGCAACTTCCTTACGGGTGGCAGCAGAGGAGGAGATGCTGATCTTTTTCTTGTGACCAGGAATAGGACATGAGGAAGTTCAGTGAAGCTGCTTCAGGGGAAGGTCATGCTGGGCATTAAGAAAAGGTTCTTCTCTGAGAGGGTGTTCCATGAGGAACAGACTCCCCAGGACAGCAGTCATGGCACCAAGCCTGATAGAGTTCAAAGACCATCAGGACAACACTCTTAATCATATGGTTTAGTTTTAGGTAGTCCTGTGAGGAGCAGGGAACTGAATTTGATGATCACTCTGGGTCCCATCCAACTTGAGATGTGTAGTAAGAACATGCCCCCAGCCTTGCAAAGAGCTGAGCCACTCAACCTCTTGCAGCACCTGGAGCAGGATCCAACTGCCCACAAGCAGGCAATGCGTGAGTTCAAGGAGCTGCGATACCGGCTTACAACACAGCTCTTTTACGGGCACTGAAAGCAGCCTTCCTGTAGAGAGCTGTGTGTGCAGAGTTCACAGGTAAGGAGAGATGACCACCTCATACAGGAAAGAAATAAAGGACAGAATGTAGGACACTGCAAGGAAAGGAACAACTCCATGCAGTGGACCTCTGCCAAGAGCAGCAGCATTCTCCTCTCGATGGTTTTCAGATAGCAGATATGACAGCTACAGTGGCGACAATGATAACTTCTCCCTGCTTTCTCCTCTCACTGGCTACAGCCAGAATGGCATTTCACATGGGCTCAGAAATTACTGCTGGCAGCTCTGGCTGTGCAGGGGCCAAACGAGAGGCCTCTCTGTGTTCACTTGGGTCTGGAAAGAGAATCTATCCATGCTGGACTCTCCTTGTTGAGCTGGTGCTGCAGAACTGAGCGCACTGGGCATGGAGAACACGCTCCTCTACCAGCAATGGGAATTGCTACCGCATCTTTCCTCCACACCAAAAGCACGCTCTGGGGAGTGGGACCTGATGCAGCTGAAGGGGCCATTGGAAACGAGCCTGGCAACAGACTCCTGTTACTACCTAGTCAGTGACCACCCTCTCTCTTTGAGAGAGAGTCCACTCCCTCTGGGAGCTTTCCCCTGTGCAAAGATGCTAGTCTCTTGTGTAACGTGCAAAAAAATATTGCATCTGTGAGGGTGTGGGCTATGGAAAGGGCTCTGGGGGCTGTGCTTGAAGGCACCTCCATAGGAGTCAGCAAGGTGTCCTGGAGGGCAAACAGGCCAGCCATCTCCTGGGGTGCATTAGGCACAGTATGGCGGCCCAGCCAACAGAAAGGTCTGACCCACTGTACTCAGCACTGTTGCGGCCTCACCCCGAGTACTGTGAGCAGCTTTGGGCTCCACAGGGGGAGAAGGTTCTAAGGATATTACAACATGTCCAAAGGAGGGCAAGAACGATGGTGAAAGGACTAGCACGTCTGTGAGGCATGGCTGAGGACACAGCTCAGAGGAGAGGAGGCTGAGGGGTGACCTCATTGCTGTCTACCACTTCCTCAGGACACGGAGTGGAGAGGGAGGCACTGATCTCTTCTCTCTGGGGTCTGGTGATAGGACGCACAGAAATAGCTTGAAGGTGTGTCAAGGGATGTTCAGATTGGGTATCAGGAAAATGTTCTTCACTGAGAGGTTGGTCAAGCAGTGGAACAAGCTCCCCCCAGGAAACAGCAATGTCCCCAGGCCTGTTGGTATTTCAGACGCAATGGGACAATGCTCTTGGATATGTAATTTAACTTCAAAGTAACCCGATATGCAGTCAGGGCTTGGACTTGATGGTCGTTGTAGGTAACTTCCAACTTCGGATATTCTATGATTACAGGATTTCCATTGGCAGGCAGAATATATTAATTACAAACTATAGCACCATGCAAGCTCCTCTGAACAAAATTGACCAGAGCCAAGCTGTAACCAGTGCACCAGGGCAGCTGTGAGTCGGTGAACTGGGCTGGGGGCAAAGGCAGGGGCTGGTGAGCGGGTGGGCTTGTGATGTGCCTTGGCACCTGTGGATGAGTCACAATGGGGGATGGCTATGAGAGAGCCAGCAGGCAGCACTGCCCCACGACAGCCTGGGCCAGTGGTGAGTGCACACGCAGTGGGGAGGATGGGCTGGACAAGGGCTGGGGTAGAAATGCAGGCCCCTGGGGGGTGGGTGCTCACTCTGCATCAAGACCCAGGCTGCGAGTGCCTTGGGCATGGCATGCTGCTGCTGCCACTGTGCCTGGGCACAGGCCTTGCTGGTTGCCAGCTGCCTCATCCCCTCTCCTTGCCTGTCCCCAGCTCCCTGCGGCTCCCATCCCCACTCACCCTGACACTACCTCCCTCTCTTCCTCCCTCCCTCCGAGCCCCACTGAATTCCTCCTCTTTCCTGCAGGCCATAGCTGTCACAAACCTTCTTGTGTGCGTTCTGCAAGGACTCATCCTGAACATGCAGGTGTTTGCTGATGAGCTGGGTAAACCCACACACAGTCAAATGCAATGCTGGCAGTTCTGGGTGATGGCTGGCGTGCTGCTCTTCCTGATTTTTGGGCTCTGCTGGTGGCTCAGGAAAAGGAGCTGTGAGGTGGACAGCAGCAGCAAAGAGGAAGAGCAAGACAGTGATGGAGGAGGTGCTGATGGGATGAGAGATTTTGGCACGTATTTCTCAGAGCGAACCAAGCACTCATTGCATGAACTGCACTGCCAGAGCGAGCTGGTGTTGGTGCTGGTGGACAATCTTCTCCATGTTTGCCGAAGAAAGTTGTCAAAGAGTTTCTTCCCAGTGCTGGAACCAGCCATCGGGGTGGGCAGTGCCTTTGAAGGCTGGAGTCCCGAGGAAGATGCCACTGTCTACCGCCTGCTTGTACCCCTGAGGCCCCCCCATGCGCACAGCTTCCGCCTGGAGATTGGCACTGTGGCACAGATGCTGAGGAACAAGTCCCGCATCCATGTGGAGGTAGAGTGCACATGCACGAGGGAGCAGACGGTGGGGGACATGCAGTGCTTCATTCATGACACTGAGGAGAAGCTGAGGATGAATCAGAAGCCTACGCTCATACACCACCTCTGCACCGGCTCCTACCTGGATGTGAAGAAAACTGCCTGCTGGTTCCAGGACTTTGTGAGGTCAGCCTGGGTGCTGGTGCCTCAGTCATGTCGCTACGATATGAAGGTGCTGCCCTCCAGCCACTCCTGCAAACTGCAGTTTACGGATGACTGTGGGAGAATCCTGATGGCTGAGATAATGTTTGGTGTGCAGCTAGGCGCCTCAGACATCTTCCTGAGCAGCCAGGATACACAGGCTTTTGACACCCCAAGCACATCATGGACACTGAGCTACGCTGTGGCAGAGGCAAAGTTCTTCAGGTTGATGGCCAGGCAGGCCCCACATGACAGCTTCCACCTCAACAGCCTGCAACTCTGCACCCGCATGCTGGTGGGCACAGGCTTTTCCAGCTATACCTTCAAGACAGCAGTGATGCACCTCCTGACCACCACACCTCTGGCAGGCTGGCACAGGAGGGATTTCCACCTATGGCTGGATGACATCATGTGGTATCTGCGCTGCTGCTTGGAGAAGAAATGCCTCAAACACTTCTTCTTTGGTAATGAGAAGCTGCCCGAGGAGATCATCTTGCCCCCAGCCTTGCAAAGAGCTGAGCCACTCAACCTCTTGCAGCACCTGGAGCAGGATCCAACTGCCCACAAGCAGGCAATGTGTGAGTTCAAGGAGCTGCGATACCGGCTTACAACACAGCTCTTCTACGGGCACTGAAAGCAGCGTTCCTGCAGAGAGCTGTGTGTGCAGAGTTCACAGCCGAGGAGAGATGACCACCTCATATAGGAGAGAAATAAAAGGACAGAATGTAGGACACTGCAAGGAAAAGAACAACTCCATGCAGTGGACCTCTGCCAAGAGCAGCAGCATTCTCCTCTCGATGGTTTTCAGATAGCAGCCTGTGACGACTGTGAGAGAAACAGCGTTGTTTTTGCATATTGGGGGTGTGGCTTTGCAATATTAAGGCTTTGTAATATTAAGGCTTCGCAATATTGAGACTTTGCAATATTGGGGCTGGGGCTAAGTTACTAAGGAAACAAAACAAAGGGTTTCAGATACTATAACTTGAAACACACACTGTGGTTAAAGACAATATCATCTTTTGCATGAAATACACACTCTGTGGTTAAAGACAGTATCATCTCTGGACGAAAGGTACACTCCGTGGTTAAAAATAATGCTCTCTTTGTATAACCTGTGAAACTAAGCTAGTGCAGGCTAGTTAAACAGTAAGTTGGAGTACCACATGTCTGCCAGAGATTTATGAAATCAAACAATAAAAGGAGATGAACAAGAGGAAGGGGCATATGTCATGGTATAAGCCCAGACAGTAACTCAAAACCACGCAGCCACTCGCTCACTCCCCCCACTTTCTTTCTCCCCCACTCCCGGAGGGATGGGGAGGAGAATCACGGGTTGAGATAAGAACAGTGCACTAACAAAGGTATAATACGAAGCTACTACTACCACCAAGAATAATAATGACAAGGGAAATAACAAGGAGAGAAAATACAAAACTTAAAAGGGGAAAAGGAAAAGAAAACAAACACAAGTGATGCACAATGCAATTGCTCACCGCCTGCCTACTGATACCCAGCCTGACCCGAGCAGGGATCTGGGTCTTCTGTGTAACTTCCCCCAGTTTATATACTGGGCATGACGTGCTGTGGTATGGAATAACCCTTTGGCTAGTTTGGGTCAGGTGTCCTGTCTCTGCTTCCTCCCGGCTTCTTGTGCCCCTCCTCACTGGCAGAGCATGAGAGACTGAAAAGTCCTTGGTCAGAGTAAACATTACTTAGCAACAACTAAAAACATTGGTGTGTTAATCAGCGTTGTTCTTGGACTAAAGCAAAAAACACAGCACTGCACCAGCTACTAAGAAGGAGAAAAGTAACTGTTACAGCTGAACCCAGGACAGTATCCACCCCTTATTCTATACCATCCACATCATGCTAAGATCCCATATATTTCAATATACCATCACTTTTGGTCTCATATAAATATATGTACATACAAAGAGAGAGATATCATTTCTTAGTCCATGGACCATCCCTATAAAGTTTGATAAATTCATTCAGTCTGTGATGTCAGGATCCATCTCTTTTAACAGTCTTTCAGGGAAGGAGAGATGGTGTGTAGTGTTGGATTGTTGCCTGCTGACGACACCACTGAACTCATCTGGTCACTGCTGAACTCATCTGGTTTCATCAAAATTCATTCTTTGTTGGGGTGATGATCGGAGGGAAGTCAGGATCAGTCGGTGGTGACCTGATGACAGTTCTGCTGCTGCTGGCTTTTCCCATGACTTTATTCTCTGCTGATGATCATGACATCACATATCTTCCTTTTAAAGCCAGAGTGGTGGAAATGGGCATCTAGCTGATGGGCTATAGAAGTGTTATATAGCAGGCAACAGCATATAGTTGAGTTCATTGGCTGTTTTCCCCCCA